TTGGTTACGTAAAGCTGGTTAGTACTGGGTTCAGGTTCTCCCAGGTTTAATTTGCAGGGAACTGATGGCTTCAGATCAGCTATTCTGAACCAATTTGGGTTCCAGTCAGGTATACTCAGGCTTTCCTTACCACGTGGAGGCAGGGTCCAGGTGCTCTTGGCAGTCCCCTGCTTACTCAGCCCCTATGCCAGAGGGTGGCCAGAGGGAGGCCAGAAGTCGGCACTCTTTGGCGGTCTGCTGTGATCAGAGCTGCTACATAGGTGGAGGTCGGAGCCCACCCTCTCAGGCTGTCTGCCAGTTTCCCAGCCTTTACCTACCAAAGCCAGATCTGCCCTGGGGCCTTGACAGGAGCCTCAGGAAACCCCAGGTATGGGAATGGGTATGGCACAATTAGTGGAAGCTCACCACCACGTGGAGGAAGGATCCAGGCACTCTCAGGCAGTCCCCTGTGTTCTCAGGCCTTCTGCCAGAGGGAGGCCAGAACTCGGTGCTCGCTGGTGGTCTCAGAGCATGTCATTTTAATGGGAGGTATAATAAAATGAAAATTTATATATTTATCAGTAAAGTTGATAAGGGTGCAATTACTAGTGACATTCCATAAAGAATAAGAAATTAGGCTGGAGAGATAGCCCAGCAGTTAAGAACATTGACTATTCTTGCAGAGGACACAGGTTTGGTTTGGACCACCCACATGGCAGATAACTGCTGTCTGTAACTCCATATCCAGGGGATCTGATGCCCTCCTCTGTCCTCTGTGGGCATTGCATGCATGTGGTGCACTCATATACATAAAATAAAAGTAATTTTTAAAAAAAGAATAAGAAATTGATTTTTACAATAGGCAATTGGGCTTATTCTGGGTATGAAGAAGGTTTGGTTTGGACCACCCACATGGCAGATAACTGCTGTCTGTAACTCCAGATCCAGGGGATCTGATGCCCTCCTCTGTCCTCTGTGGGCATTGCATGCATGTGGTGCACTCATATACATAAAATAAAAGTAACTTTTAAAAAAAGAATAAGAAATTGATTTTTACAATAGGCAATTGGGCTTATTCTGGGTATGAAAGATTTGACATAAAGAGTTGGGCTTCAGTCAGCTTTCCTTTTATCAAAACTCATAAGCATGTGGTTATGAACACTAGACGTTCTCCAGAGGACCTGGGTTCAGTTCCTAGCATCCACATGTTGGATAACAGCCATCTTTAACTCCAGTTCCAGCGAAATCTGATACCCTCTTCCAGCCTTTACATGCATTGTATGCTTGTGGTGCACATGCATATATATAGGCAAAACACTCATACACATAAACCCAAAAATAAATAAATAAGTGTACAAATAAAAGTTATAAGCAATAGGAAGCATTTTTGTTAATTAGCATTGCAAGCTGAGAGTAATATTAAGGAAAGTTGTTTTTCTCTATCATAAGTTAGTGTGAATAAAAAACAGAATCAATGGGATTCCAATATTGACTGCCTCAGCTTTCAGGACCTGCTAGAAGGGAGCTTAGGCATCTCCCATGTTCAAAACCATTTTCAGGAATTTTGTTTGGTGGCTCATACTCTGTTGATGTCTTTGAGTCCAAGGAGGCAGACCCATTCATTCCTTTCAGGGATAAGACTGCCAGAAAAAAAGAAATAAATATTTTGTGGGTGACTCTATTTATAGTCAAACCAGATAAATGATTTAGGCTACAGTCTGGAGTCACTGATATCTAAGGAGATAATTGTCTAAGAAAGAAACAGATAAATGTTTACTATAGCTCATCATATTTCAGAATTTCTAGGCAATAATGATTCTGTTTCCAGGTTTACAATTTGTTTTAGCAACATAAAGAAGTTATAGACCAATTGTAAATACATGACAATGGCTCTGGTTAATGCTAATGGAAATTGAAATTTAAGCTCCATAAGTTTTGACATATAAAAATATTCTTTTAATTTTTTCAATTAAACAGTTTCATCTTATGAGCCATTTAAAGGAGGTGGAAGGCTTAGATTTTACACAGGACATTTATTCATGCTTGGTATGTCTTGTCTAGTAGAACATTCTCTAATTATGTTAGGTCAATTTGTACATTTGCATCCTATCTGAAAAAAATGACTATCAGATCCTAATGAATTTTTCCTTGTCTTTTTGGAGAAACTTTATTGTTTTAGGTGTTTGCAAGGTAATTTTTATTTATAGTGCTGATAACTGATCAAGCCTTAATAGTTTATCATTATTTTCTTCAAATAATTTCACATTATTTGAATTACATATCTTGAAAACATACCCTCTTTTGTAACTAAAGCATATAAATGCATTAACTAATTAAAATATTCAAGGGATAATTATGAAAATTATAGATGTGTTTTATGATAAATGCATGAGATAGAATTTTCTATACTTTCGTGTTTTAAAATTTTAAATTGAGCTGCGTGTGGTGGCACATGCCTTTAATGCCAGCACTTGGGAGGCAGAAGCAAGCAGATCTCTGTGAGTTTGAGGGCAGCCTGGTTTACACACTGAGTATCAGGCCAGCTGGAGCTACAGGGAGACCCTGTCTCAAAAAGACAAAAAAAAAAAAGAAAAAAAAAGAAAAGAAGTTGAAGTAAGATTAGTGGGCATAATTACTTTACTATATATTAGCTATCTTCTAGGTATCCATGTATCTATGTATCTCTCATGCTTGTCTCAATATTTCTGTGTGTATGTCCCAGGAACAATGATTTTCCCTACATAGTAATAATATCCACACAGTTCTCATTGATGCTATATAATATTCAAACTGTATTTAAATACACCCAACATTCCTATAAATTTTTTTTGTCTTTTTGAGATGGGGTCTCCCTGTAGCCACAGCTGACCTGGAACTCACGATGGAGACCAGGCTGTTCTTGGTCTCCCAGAGATCTGCCCACCTCTGTCTCATGAGTGCTGGGACTAAAGGCATACACCACCATGTCTGGCTCTTATAATTTAAAAAAAAGATTACATTTATTTATTTATGTATTTATGTATTTATGTATTTATTTGTGTGTGTTTGTGTTTGTGTGTGTCTGGTTAGCTTGGAGATTGAACTCAGGTTATCAGACTTGGTATCAAGCATCTTTACCCTCGGAGCCATCTTGCTGATCCTATATAATATGTTTATACTTTTTTATTTTTGACAATTCATTGTCTAATAAAGGTACAAGCTTATAATGTTGGTTTATCTTGTTTATTCAGTCTCCTATGTTCAGAAATAACTTCAATCATTTGTTTTTGTTTCCTTTAAGTATGCTACCTTTTCTGAAGGGTTTGAATCTGGTATTAGTCATTTAAAATGTCCCAGAGATTGGTTTTATGTGATTGCTTTCTAATAATTGCTCTTAGTTATGATTTTGGCATATATATTGATCAGTTAGTCATGTTGTATGTTGTGAGGTGGGCACACATTTGTAGTGTTAACTATGCCATTAGTGGTTCTACCAGTTTCTTCATGTCTTAAGCTGATATTAGACCTCTCCATTGCAGAGATCCTGCTTTTTCTCTTGCAATTAATACAAATCTATAACATGGTACATTGACACCTTATGAAAATTCTGTATACTAAGTCATTCACCCACTGTCCCAGTTTCCAATTTTATAATTGTCTGAACTGATTATCCTTTGGGCGCCCCGGCGCCCCGGCGTGGTGTGCGCGGGCACACCTGGAGAGTTGCGGCGGTCCTGGCCACAGGCGTCTGCTTCTCTGGTTGCGCGGTCTTTCTTGCCGTGCCCTGGCTCCGCGGCGGCGGGTGGGTTGTTGTCTGCCGCTTTTGGTGCTGAAGGTGCCTCTGCTGCTGGAGCGTTGTCCAGCCGTGTCTCCGCCCTGATTTCACCCGTGCACCCTCCTCAATATGCCGGGTCCACTGGCCACTGGACCACGTGGGAAAGTACAAGGGCGGCTAAAGCTAAGGTTCTGCGAGTCAGTGATGGAGGAATGCTGCCTCCGGAGAGGCTGGATTGCTGATAGCAAGACGCGGGACTCTGCTTAGTCCGTGTTACAGCTTTTATTAAGTGTTTAGCTCTTAGTGATCCAGCAGCTCTGTGATCCAGCTCTCTATTATTGAGAGAAGACTGGGATATTTATACCATGGGGGTAGTGGTAAAAGCTTTGGCTGATAGATACTTTGTGAGGCATTCTATTTGCATATGGAAGAGGGCTTCTGCCATGCTGCCAGACCGCTGACTGCCTGAAAAATCACACAGGAAAGCATGGTATTCCTAGAGCCAGAGGCCATGTTTATGTCAGGGCATTTGTGGCAGGCAATTCAAAAGGAGAGTCAGGAAAAATGCCAGGAAGGCACCCTGCTATGAAAGGAGTCCCAGCACATGGTTCCGAGCTTGTGAGCTATCTGGATATGAAGAGACTTCTACTTTACACAACAGAGGCCCCCAACATCCTTACCTGAATTATTACAAAATGATGAAATTTCCAAACGTCATTGCTTTATGCTTTCAAGTTGTCTTAAGTGTAATAACGATTACCTCTATATTTTTAAATTAAGACAAATAACCTGCCAGGCAGTAGAAGCTCTCAACAGTATTGTTATGGCTTAATTATTCTAAAAGACATTGTAAACTATGTCAAATATGTGTAAGCCACAGTCCCACGAGCAGAAACTTCAGACAGATCATGTACAAACAAAACCTTCCATTTGAAACCATATTCCTTGCATGAATGGTGCAATAGCAGTAGTGGTAACAAAGGGCAGCAGGTGGTTACAGACACCAGTAGTCAGGCTTACTGGTAAGGCAAACAGATTCAGAAGTATTGGTACTGAATACCTCATTGGAGAACACATCTTTGAAATCACTACCATGGGACTCAGACTCATCCCTGTTTGTTACATGATCTCTATATATGACACTGCACTTGTTTGGATGTAATTGCCTCAAGTTTAGATCAAAATATTTGACGACATGCTATGCATTGTTTATTTTAGTTCCATAGCTTTTAAAATAACCTGACTTTTCTATGCCTCTTTTTTCCAGGGTACCACAGTAATAACATCATTGACATCTGTGCTACATGATAACAAAGAATTCCCAAATCCAGAGATCTTTGACCCTGGTCACTTTCTAGATAAGAGTGGTAACTTTAAGAAAAGTGACTATTTTATTCCTTTCTCAGCAGGTAATCAAATTTATTTCTAAGGCATCAAGGTAGCTTTTAGGTGTCTGTTGAAATTTGCATTGTGTCAACTTTTGGTATGGTAGATTAACTTTAGATATGACCAGATCACCATGCCAAATGACCATGCTCTTTTTAGTTTTCTAAAAATTTATTTATTTTCATGTGCATGAGTGTTTGACCTGCATGTATGTAAGTGTCATTCAATGCATATGGAGTTCAGAAGAGGGCTTCAGATCCCCTGTAACTGGAGTTACAGATGGCAGTTAGACATCGTGTGTGTGCTGGAAATTGAATCTGAGGTCTCTGCAAGAATAATTAGTACTCTTAACCTCTAAGCCATCTCTCCAGTTCCCTAAAGATGTGTGTTTTGCCTGCATGCATGTATATCACATGTGTGCAGTGCCCACAGAGGCTAGATGAGGGCACTGGATCCCTTGGAACCAGAGTTACAATTGTCAGCTGCCATATAGGTGCTGGGAACTGAAGCTGGGTCCTCTGCAAGGGAAGCCAATGCTCTTAACCACTGAGTCATCTCTCCAGCCCAGTGCCCATGATCTTTGTCTGCCCATGAAACATCATCACTGTTGAGTCATAGTAGTGGGACTTTAAGGTGTTGAGTAGTTTTCAAATTAATGAAGCTACACTACAGTTTGGTTGAATTATATGTTTACATATATCATTGAGGTTCAATAGAACCTTTCCTAGAAATTAAGTAACCTGGTGCACTGTAAAAAAGGCAGCCAGCTCCACAACATGACAGAACATGTTCTTTGTGGTGCTTCTTAGCCCACAGGTTCATTAATGGAGATACAAATCTCCCTAAGTATAGAACAAAGTTATCACATCCAGTTAGGGAAGCAGATGAGCAGACAGTTCATTATAATCTCATAGGACTGTGCTATGATAGAGGAAAACACAAGAGGCTGAGGGAGGGGAGTGGAAGCTATGGGGAACGAGTTGTCTGTTTCTTCTCATTCCCCACTATGATGTCTTACACAGAGAATGAAACATTGTAATATCAGATAACTATGTGAGCTGCCCCAGAAAGGGCAAAGAGAGACTAAAAAGGTGAAAAGGAAGGGAATTTACAAGGCAGTAGTGAATAGAAACAGCAGGGATTTAATCTCACTCAGGGTGTCAGAATCTCCTGAATAACCCTTGTGCTGTGAGAACAACTGGCTATGGTAGGATATGCTGTATTGTTCACAGAGCACTTTTCTCTTCTCTAGTCATGGAGATCAATCTTGGATCTCTACACCTGGAGTACGTGTGCTAAGTTCCAGCCATAGAACATCCGCACTTGACACTGTGACTTTGGTTGTCATCTTTTCAATCGGTTATGGTAGAGACCATGAGAGAAAAGACGAAAACCTTTCTTTACAAATGCATGTTTTTACACAATTGAAAAAATTAAACAGAAAATTATAATTCTAGGCAATCATTGCTTCAATGAAAGCATGATTATGATAATGAAGAGCCCAAAGAAAGTGGTGTCTTAATTTCTTTACAAATAAGATAGATATGATGTTTTATAACTTCTTGAATGTAGGATAGCTTTTAGCCAGAAAGAATATAAAATCTGAACACTCATGGTCCTTCAGGATTGCTGAAAAGTGTGTACTGCTGGAGCTGACAATAGAGAGTGTGAAAAATGGAAGAAAAATCTCAGTTTCAAACACAGTGTTTGTCCCAGTCAAACAGTAAGTTAACATACTATGTTTTTACTTTGCAGGAAAACGGATTTGTGTGGGAGAGGGTCTGGCACGCATGGAGTTATTTTTATTCCTGACCACCATTTTACAGAACTTTAACCTGAAATCTCCAGTTGACCCAAAGGACCTTGATACCACCCCAGTTGCCAATGGATTTGTTTCTGTGCCACCCACGTACCAGATCTGCTTTATTCCTTTCTGAAGAAAAGTAGAAACTGTTGTGCCTGTGTCTGCAGCCCTGTCCTCCAGGGCATAGCTGACATCCTTCTGTCACGCATACCTCTTCTGACCTGCAGTCTCACGGTTCCTCTTTTCCTGAAGATCCAGGGACCACCTATCTTCCTTTTGGGGGAATTTTCTGAGTCACTGTACAAATATACCTGCAATTCCCTATGCTCTGCAATGGTTTATTGACTTTACCATTGCGAATTATTAGTTAACATTGAATTATTAACATATCATTGCTATAAAACTGAAAAATGTTTAAAATGTGAGTTCAGCATCATCTCGCCCTCCTATGTTCTAAATAAAAGAAAAATTCTGGATTAGTTTCAAAGTTTCCTTCTTTTTCTTTTTTGATATGGTCTCGTTTAGACCATGCCTGACCCAAACTCACTTAATCTTGGGTCCATTTATTTTATAAGGAAGAACTTGGAGGGTATTACTACATTATTAACTTGAATTATTTCAAATGCATTTGTATTATCCTCAAAAAGATTTTGTTGGAAATGATCAAAATAAGACTGTTCAGCATTATCTATTCTTCAATGTTCTAAATAAAACCACTATTGAATCTGGGTCAGTTTCAAAGTTTCCTTTTTTTCCTTTGTTAATATGGTCTCATTTAGGCCATGCCTGACCCAAACTTACTATGTACCTGAAGATGACCTTAAATTTCCAATCATCCTGTTTCCACCTTCCATCTCCTGGGGTTATGTGTGTGACCCATTACATCCTGTACCATTTTCTTCTTTTATTTATAAGTAGAAATGAATTAAAACAATGTCCCAGGATGTTTTTCCTTCATCTTGATGCATTCAAAGAGAGCAAGGACACGGGGTAAAAAGGCTGTGGATTAGTTACTTTTCAGTTGCTGTGATAAAACACCGTGACCAGGAAGAGTTTATCTGAACTTACAGTCCCAGTGGAATTAGTCTCTGTCATGTCAGGGATGTATGGCAGCAAGAGGTGGTCAGAGCAGGAGTAGAAACAGAAAGTTAAGTGTTCATATTTTCAAGCACTCACAAGAAGCATAGAGACACTGGGAATCTGGCAAGGTTTAAGAACTTTCTAAGATACCCTTAACTCCAGTGATGACCACATCTAAGGCCTCCCAAAACAGCACCACTAACTGGGGACAAAAATGTCCAAATATTTAGAGCCTGTGGGGGACATTCTCATTCAAACCATCACAGGTTCTTTAGCCAAGTGTCACTAATAGTTACTGCAGGATTGAATCTGAATGAGAAAAAATGTTGTTCTAAAGGGAAACATAGAAAGAATTAGCCACCTGGAATGTATTAGTTATTTTTCTGTTGCTGTGATAAGATACCACGACCAAAGCAACTTATAGAAGAGTGAGTTTATTTGGGCTTATGGTTCCAGAGAGATGAGGCCATCATGGCAGAGAGGCATGACAGAAAGTGGCAGGCATGACAAAAGTCACAAACTGAGAGCTGATATCTCCTGTGGCAAGCAGGAAGCAAAGAGGTAGAACAACTGGAAGTGGGGCCCTTGACCTCTCAGAACCCATCCCCAGAGATGTGATTCCTTTAGCTAGACTATAGCTCCCACAGGCTCCATGCCTCTCCCAAACAACATCACTAACTGATCATGTACTTGAATATTTGAGTTTGGGGGGGGCACTTATTCAAATCACCACAGGGGAGAATGAACATTAAGTGTTATAACTTGGGTCCTTTCTTTGGTGTTATAATGAAAATGAACATAAACACTTGGAAATGCCTTTATAGTTTATGAATTATACTTCTTTGATGATCTCACAAAACTTTGGTGCGGTTAAAAGTTTCAGCAAATCTTAGATCCATTTATTTTATAAGGAAGAACTTGGAAGAATCTACTACATTATTAACTTGAATTCATTCAGATATGTTAGTTTAAAAAATTTTATTTATTATTTTAATTTTATGTGTATGAGTGTATTGCCTGCATGTATGTAAGCATACCCTTATCATACAGTGTCCGTACAGGACAGAAGATGGTGTTGGATCCCCTGGAATTGGAGTTACGGATGGTTGTTAGGCACCATGTGGGAGTTGGGAATTGAACCTGGGTCCTCTGCAATAACAGCCAGTGCGCTTAACTGCTGAGCCATCTCTCCAGTCTCAATTCAGATGCATTTGTATTGTCCTCAGAAAAGGTTTTGTTGTAATGATTTTGTAGAAACTAAATTCAAAACAAATCTTTTACCGTGTGTTCTTAATAATAAGCAGTTTTGATTGTTGGGCGTATTCTCAGACTTTCCTTTTTGTGCACATTTAGATAAGAAAGAAATAGAGTTCTAAAAGACCATGCGAATTCACATGATGATAAGTATAAAGAACAGAAAGTAGAGGAAGGGAGACAGTCTCATTGACTCAGTATCAGCTAGAATTATAGACATTATAGATAAGAAATAGAAATAAAGTTCAGGAGCAGCTCTATCCTCTGGATCTACAGTATAAGGACCAAAACCAGGAAGATATTAACATTAAGGTTAGAAATCATGTTCCCCTTTTGGTTTTACTGTGAGTAAAATTAAAAATTTGAAATACTCTTTGTATTCCTTCAGTTGTAAGCATGACTTTATGCTATCCTATCATCAATCATGTGTTTACGAATTATACTTATTTGATGATCTCACAAAACTATGCTAGTCTTTTACAACCGAAAGCTTCCTATCTTCTGTTGTTTCTACTTTCTACATGTTGTTTCACACTCAATATAAATGTGATAGCAATTTGATACTATAGTCCTGATGGCTTTATCCCCATTTCAACCTCCTTACACATATAGCTGAGCATTTAATACTGACACGAAATGCATGAGATAAAAGTAGTCATCCTCATTGCTTCTCTGATCTCATCTCCAAAATCAGCTCCTTTGTTTCTGACATTTTAAGTTTTGACACAATGGTTTCAATGCACAAATGTAACTGAGCATACATGGTGATGAAGGTATACCACCACACATATAATGCAATATGTGATTATATGTGTGGGATACAATATGTTTCTTTACAAAATTAAGCTTAAAATTCATGTATTTTGCATAACTTCTGTGTTTCTACTTAATAATATGCCGGGACTTCTTAAAATAATACAAATATGGAATATGCTTTTTTATTAAAATTAAATTTATTTTAACTGATCATATAAATATGAAAATTATATTTGGGGTACCACATAATGTTTTGATATAGAAAACAATTTATATTTAAATTGAGTTAAATATTTTGATATCTTCAAGTCTTCACCATTTCTTTATGGTCTGAACTTTCAAAATCCATCTTTCTTGTTTTTGGAAATATACAATACTTTATCATCATCAGTAGTCACTGCTCTGCAACTGCACAACAGAATGCTTGCTTCTGTGTAACAAACTATAACATCCATCAACCTTTCCTCACTTCTCTCTCACCTCTTCTCTGTAGCTGCTGGTAAACACTGTTCTATTATCATTTGCTATGAGATCAATTTTTCTTTTTTGGCATTTTTGAGACAGGGTCTCCCTGTAGCCCCAGCTAGCCTGGAACTCACTTTGTAGACCAGGCTGACCTTGAACTTCCAAAGATCTGCCTGCCTCTGCCTCCCGAGTGCTGGGACTAAAGGCGTGTGCCTCCCTGCTGGGATGAGATCAACTTTTTAAATGTATGGTTCATATAAGAGAGACAATGTGATACCTGCTGTCCCATGTTCAGCATATTTCACTCAAAACAATTATTTCCACCTCCATTTATGCCACAGTGTTTATCTTTGCATGTATTGAGTGGCTAGTTTTTTTTTTTTTTTTTTTTTTAAATTAACACAGGGACTCAAGTAGTCCAGGCTTGTCAACTTCTGATCCTCCTGCCTCAGCCTCCAAGGGCTGGGGTTACAAATGTGCACCACCATAAAACTTGTAAGACTCAGAAACCTCCTGAATGTTAAGGGATTTGCAAGTTTCCTCCACAAGATTATGTAAATTGTAGCAACTGCTAAGGAGAAGAAATTCCCCAGTGGGTCAATCTGTCTGCAATTTGTGCTGGATTCCAGGAATACAGGTATTGTGAGTAGTTACCCATGCTATGGTGATGCAGTTGCCTTTGTGATGCAGCTGCCTTTGGTGATGCAGCTGCCTTTGTGTCACATATACTTGTTTTAAGTAATTTGCACTCATTCCCATAAGTAATTACATACCTGTCTGTAAATGTAAGAAGGAATATTTAGAATACAGTAAGAAATTATGTTGGTCTAGGGATATGGCAAAAGTAGGTCATATGTTCTCTAGAATATATGATCTCTACAGTCATGTGTATTTGGCTATGTTTACAGTTCCACACATAAGTTCCCTCCCATTGAGCAGGCCTCAATTCTAAGTAGACAACTGTAGATTACCCCCAAATAAAAGTGCCACTACTACACCAATAGCAATAGGTTGCTGGGCCAGTCGTTGTTGACTAGGCTTTACAGCAGGGTAAGATTACTGGTTGTTTATTCTCCCTTGGCAACTCAGGAATTAAGGTCAACAATCAACAACTGGGACCTCATTAAACTACAAAGCTTCTGTAGGGCAAAGGAAACAACCAAGTGAGTGAAGAGGAAGCCCACAGAGTTGGAGAAAATTATCAGTTGTCAAGATGTGCCTCTGCATGCCATGTAGAAGATAAAGCAACACTAGGATTCTCCCAAAGGACACTACATCCCCTAATGTCTTTGACTTGCTTTCATCTCTTGTCATTCATCACAGGGTCATCAAAGAAAATTCTTTTCACAGCAGGTAGAGAATAATAGAGTTCCACAACTGGTCAAGTGCATAAGATAATTATCTGTGAGACACTTAGCCCTAAGTGACATATTTTCTATGCAACCTCTACATATAAGATGAATGCATCTTTCAACTCTCACCAGAGAGGTTCCCTTTATGTAACAGATGGTGATTAACACAGAAACCCACAAGTGGCCAATGTGTAGAGACTAGGTGCTCCTCCCAGAAAAGGACACCTATATCAAACTTCTGCATCCCAAGGAACAGGGATCATTGAAAAAGAGGGGGCAGAAAGATTGTAAGAGCCAGAAGTGGTGGATGACCACAAGGAAACAGAGTCTTCCAGACATCTGGTCAGTTACTCTTATGAACTCACAGCAATGGTGACAGCATGCACAAGTCATACACAAGCTCAGACTAGGTCAGCATAGCTATGGGGATGTGGGTAAGAAATCTCAACCCAGCCTAAGGAACTTTTGGTGACTGATGGCTGTTGGGAAGGGAAGAGACCATCTTTTATAGGAATGAGACTCTTCGTAGGTTGACTAGCCTGTAGTAGATGGACCCATGCCAAGGGATGTTTGGGACACAAATCAGACTCTATACCCATATTGTACATATAGTGGAGTACATTGAATTGGGTAGGGGATCCATTGGGGGAGGTCTGCGTGGGGAAGGGAATCTAAATCAAATATTCAATAAAAATTAAAAAAGAAAATCTGTAAGCAGGAAGGATGAAATGGATATGTTGATTTCACATTTCTTGCATTGGCAGGATTCAAGGGAAAGAGAATATAAATTAAACCTGGACTAGAGACACCTTTCTGGGATCT